CTCATCAGAAGTCATCCATACACAAGCAACAAATACATATAATCTAACAAACAAGAGCACATATTGTACTCTTCATAATATATTCAAAAACAACAAAATGCATTAAAATAAACTAGTAAATAACTAAATTTAAAGGATAAAATTCTAGTGCTAAGGTTTATAATAACTCACAAAATGTGATTTATTACACTCCCAAATTTGAATCATTACCTGTCCTCAAGTGATGCGACAAATATTATGAGAAAAAAATATTTGCAGAGTTATCATTAATTATATTACACCTCGAAACTTGTACACAACTACACAAAATTTGAGTTATCAATTTGTTGCAGCCTGTGAGTCGAATCACAACTTAGATTGATTAGAATCATACACACATGTGAGTCGAATCACATGTTGTGCACGAGTTGAATCATAAACCATCCTTCCGCCACTGCTAAGTTTTAGTCGAATTATGACAAAGCCATGACTCGAATCAGAACCTTGCATGAGTCGAATCATGCCTATCCTTGAGTCAAATCACAACTGAATGGTTTCCTTTTAAGTGTTGATCTTGTTTGTCATTACTTAAACTTGACTCAAACCAGCAAATGTTATTGACTCAAATCAATCATGAACTTTTCACTAATTTTTGTGCTTCATCTCCAACACCTATAAATCATTTTCATCTCTCAACCTTTCACAATGTCTACGTTAGAAAACACATTCTCTCATTGATGATTTGAAAAACCACAAACCACTTGTTCATTCATTTTCAAATAGGGTTTTGAATCTTTCTTGAATACTTGTAATCGATTTCTTTCATCTTTGATCTCATTCTTTTCATTGTTACATGGATCCGAATCTCATATTGATAGATTTGTGATTGATTGAGGAGATTCATTTTTGAAATTAACGTTTCTTTAAAGATTTGTTTAAAGATCCCAGGTTATTGCAAGATTGTGTAGTTTTGTGATTGGTTGTGAAAATTCCAGTGAAAAAGAAGGAGGATGTTCTTTCCAAGCTAACCTTGGTAGTATTGTGGGAAAGTCTATAAGAAGTGTATGATTTCTTTTCAATACTCGGACAATCCAACTCTCAAGATACCGGCAAAATTATGTGGAAATTGCTGCAGATGGAGACTTAAGAGTAGGTTGTTGGAGATGGAAGGTACAAGAAGCGAATTCAAGTAAAGATTATGTATAGAGTTCAGTTTGTGTGACTGTGTATAAGTCAAGATCTAGAATGAAAAGTTTTATCTTTTCAGTGTTTAATTTGTGGACTGGTGATTATACGAACTCTTGTAATATTGTTACAAATCATGGTGGAAGACAAATAAATTTTCAATGGGAAATCATTAGAGAATGGATTAAGTACAAAATGAAGAAGAACATGCCGAACCACTATAAATCTCGGTGTACATATCTCTCTCATTTAAATTCGTAGTTGATCGCATGATTAGGTTATTTTTACCATTTTCTAGATTTGCACGTTGATAGATTTATCTTATTGTAAGTAGCGATTTGTTGTGTAAAGTTGTATGTTTTGTTAGAATCGGTAGTTCTACTTTGTCTTGTTGTGGATTAAGTATGAAGACTTTGATTGTAGAATCTGAAGCGTGTTGGCAATTATTGTATAACACTTCCTGCGAAGTTGAAAAAAACTTTGAGATACCATTGGTTTATAATTTCTGGTTAAATCTATAGCTCATCTTGTATACTTTATCAATTGTTTGAGTAAATTGACATATCTTCTGATCGATAAACATAAGCTCTTTTATGCAAAATTTGCTTCCACCATTCAAAACGTTTTGTTTTTGAAACTCTGACTAAAACCATTTTCAAACTTAATTTTATTTTCGAAGGTCCATTCACCCCCTCTAGACCATTATTTGTCCATCTTCTCACTTAAAAAAAGTCCCATTTTAAACCTCTAAGATTTCGGGTCTCAACAACAACAATAACAACAAACAAACAAACAAACAACAACGACAACAACATTAATATAACATGAATATCAATGTTTGACGTACCAGCAATACTACAGAAAATACATACATTAATGGTTTTGAAACACATATAATGATGGTAGCACGTCTGTTGTTAGGTAGCGTGTGATTGTATGTATATTGGTTATCACAACAGGCGTGTGATCATTGTTATAAATTAGATAACACTTTACATGTAACCATAATTGTATTAAACAATCGTTGTTGTATGTATTTTAATAAAATAAAAAATGCAGCAGTAGAACAAGAACAACAACAAGAACAACAATAATAACAACACAAACAAGAAGAAGAATAACAATAACAAAGAGCAACAAAAAAAGAACAACAACAACAATAACAACAACAAGAACAACAACAAAACAACAACAAGAACAACAATAATAACAACAAGAACAACAACAACAATAACAAGAAAAAGAACAACAAGAACAATAATAACTAACATTTCTAAATTAAATCCATACTTTCCTTGTCTCATTCAAGTTGGAGAAGAGATGATGGAGTTCTGAAATTTGTTTATGAAAGATATTAATGTTTCCGAGTTTTACTTATGGAAGAAATGATATTTTCAAGCTTGGTTTAGTTAAGAAACAATTTTTTGTAAATGAAAGATGGCATTTGGAGGTAGAAGATGAAATTCGTCTAAGTTGGAATTTCGTCTAAATTTTAAGTTTCATGCGGATCACTAATGGTAGTGCTTGAGTGTTGATAATCACTAAATAGAAGACCAAGATTTGTTCAAGGACAGTGAAGAAACTTAATAAACACGTTACATACAACAACTGTTATTGTATGTATTTTAATAAAATATAAAAAATACAGCAGTAGAAAATTACAACATCATGATTCAAACTCATGAGCATGCGCTACATACAACAATGATTGTATTAAACAACCGTTGTTGTATGTATTTTAATGAAATATAAAAAATGTTGTAGTAGAACAACAACAACAACAAGATTCAAACTCATGATCATGCGCCACTTTTCACCATGCTTGGAAGTTCCAACTGTGGTAAAAGGTGGGCTTAAAATTGAAAATAAAAGGAACGCGCCTAATTGAATAAATTCTACCACGGTGAATTCTTTGACCTTGGTGAAATAAAATCCGGTGGCGCTACGAAATATACTTTTAGTAGTAGTGTAGATATTTGAAGAAGTGAAAGAAATGATTTCGATCTTTCATTCTGGAAAGCATAAAATGAGAGCCGTAAACGTATATCATCTTCTCAATATGTGTTTAGGGCTTTTCGTTGGAAAACACAATCGAAGTGAAAAGTGTCTTATTTTTGGGTTAAAATAAAATATGCATGAAGACGCTACTTTTAATGAAATAAAAACATGGACTAAAGTTGGTGGGATTCAAAGTATGTACCATGAATTAGTTTACCCCTTAGTGTTTAGCTAAAACCGATGGAGTAGATTGTTCTTTTAGAAAGAAAAAAACATGGGGCATACAAGTATTTTACATCGGTTTTTTGTTACGTGATATGAAATTGTTGTCATAAAATATAATAAAATGTATTATTTATAGTAGTATTTGCTTGTTATCTGATTCTATCTATATCTCTTTTAAAAACCTCAAAACATTTAAATTGTGTTGTAGATAAATCGAAGGTTTAACATATTTAAATCTCTTTTGACAACTCTCCAATAGTGAAATAGTGCGTGATTTTAAAAGAAAGAGGAGCTTAGTTTTGAAAGTTTGATTTTAAATATTTTAACTTAGTAATTATAGAGTGTAACTAAATTACTATTATTATTTTGGATAGAAAAACCCTCCAGAATTATAGATATCATGATGCAATTGAAATGAAACATACTTTATACATAGCTTAGAAACAATTCTAATAGAATGTTCACAAGTTAAGGCACAACCAAATCAAAAGTAACAATATTTCTTCCAGCAATGCATTCTCTTGCAAACACCATCAATATCGTCCAACCTTCTCAAGTGTTCACAAATTAATAGATAACAAGAGATAGTGTTGTAATGGATGTTGAACACATAAACTTCCTTAGTCACTGTGAAATTCCAATAGACACACATAAATATGCTACAAAACTCATTTTGTCAAACACCAATAAAGTACATTCTTAAACTTTAAAAGACTAAAACACATCACATGTAACACATAAACGAAATAAAATATCTTGTTAGAAGAGATAATTTCTTACCTTAAAACAATCATGGTGGCTTTGGGGGTGGACAAACAAATGGCAGCATCAAATGAGCAACTACAGTAGGGAGAGAGATGCATTTACCATTGTTGAATTTGGAGTGTGCAGAAAACCTTTAACAAGCTTATCATTCCTCAGAGGTGGTGGCTACAAAAAGAGAAAGAGAGCTTTGATGGTTGTTCGTGGTGGAGAGTGGGAATGTCCGATGAGAAGTTTGGTTGTGGTGAGGACATGATAATGAAGACGGATGAAGGGAAAAATGATCTCAAAAGAGGGAGAGATGACCACCATAATAGTGGAAGAAGAGAGTCACCATGGAGGTGGGAGGTAGCCACCAAATCCTAAAAGACTGGAGGAAAGTTTTCTAGAAAGAAGGAGGAGCAATTCACTCTAAGGCTATGTTTGGATATGCTAAAACGAACGGAGTGGAATGAAACATAACATAATGGAATGGAGCGGAACGGAATAAGTATGTCATTTTGTTTGAGTAGTTTGTGACGGAATAAAATAAATTTATCATTCTATCTAAATCAAAAGGTACAAAAAATAATAAATGAAATAAAATATATTTCAAACATAGCCTAATTTGTCAAATATTGTTTTCTAGAATGTAATTAAATTTATAATATTGGAAATTACTAAAAAAAATGGTAATTTAAATAATAACAAAAATAAATTGAAAATCTCATCTTCGAATACATTTCTTTTCCAACACCATCCCCAAATATTGATCAACAACATTCATCTTATCTAAATTTCCTATAAATTATTATTTTTCTTTATTTCCATGGACTGATGTATAACAACATTTGTAAACATCTCTTTTTAAGCTAACTATGTTTCTTCCGTTGCTTGGCCTTCCATTCTTTGATATTAGTCGCTATCCTTGCCTTCACATTTTTTTCAAATCCAGAATATGGTTCATATCCAATCGTCTTTTGGAGAATCTACAGAACAAATTAATATAAACTTCATTTTAATTTTCAATAACTATGAGACATATTAAACAAAAGTACTATGACAAAAAAAAAACCCTACCTCAAGAACCACGAAGAAAGGAGCCATTAGAAAAGCTTGAGCAAGATTGTCCAATAGAGCTGGTGCACGTTTCTGATAGAAAAATAATACAACATAAACAAATTAATAGTGAAAATAAAAATCCATGCATCATGGTTTTATGTGATGAAACAATAATTTACCTCAAACACAAAATGACTTGTAATCTGTGCTGTCCAACAAAACAACTGAGTAGCCAACACAACCTAAAAAATCATAAACATATATAATTAAATTACAACAATTTTTTTAGCTTCTAAAATCATCTAAAAACCAACTCGCAATAAAGTACCTTGGAGGCGAGATCAAAACCGATGGAATTAGCGACGAAACTGGAAGAAGCCCAACAAAGCAAAGTAAGAAGACCTACGAAGGAACCAGCTTTAAAATCCAAAGCAACATAGAAGAGAGCGTAGAAAACAGCGAAGAAGAAACCAAAGTTGAAAACCAAGACAGGAGGAATGAAATTAAGGAGTGTTTGGGGAGGAGAGAAAATAGGAGGGGTAAAGTAGAAGAAAAGAAGAGCAGTGAAGAGGATAGGCCAAACAAAGAATATGTGAACTACAATGTTAATTGGGTTACTGTGATAAGAACCATAGAATGCAAAGTGCTTTTCAAGATCTAATAGACCCATTTTTTTTTTTAAGATTACACGTGAATGAGTTTTCTGGAGATTATGATTATTTTGATTGATTCAAAATTACTTATATATTGTTTGATTGGGATAGATACATCTAGAACCTTCTTTTAGGATACATCTAGCACATAATCGTTTTTTGCACACCAGTTTCAAGTTGAGCGAATTATTTTATGACCAATCATTTATGTTTTTGGAAAAATAATAATTTTTTTGGTGAAAGAAATATAATAATTTATGAACAGTTTTTTTTACAGCAATTTCTTAACAGTCTTTTAATTGATTTTAATGAAGTTCTCATTTTTGTCGACTATATATTTGGAAATGGTTATAACTAATTAATAAAAATAAAGTATATATATAAAATTAATCTTAAAATAGAAAAATATTAATATATAATATATAATTGATTCAAATAATAAGAAATTTAGAATTAAATGGTGATAAGTTTGATATTACCCCTTACATATAGAAAAAGATTTGGTTGACGTTCAACGAATTTCTCAAAAGATATTTATTAGTAGTACTACTAAATGATAATAAATATTTTATAATACAACTAGGAAAAAAAATAATTATTAATTTTAAAGAAATTAGGTTTAGTAAAAAAAACATTTTTTAAAAGAAATTAGGATTTACTTTAACTATTTATTTGGAAAACAGTTATAACTAATTAAGAATATAAAGTAAACTTTTAATTGAATTAAATATAAGAGTTTGAAAATCTTGCCTCTATCTCTAGGTGGCGATAGACCGTTCAAATTTTTTATCTATTAGATTATTATTTTATAATTTTTTTATTGATAAAATATATCAAATAATATAAATTTAAAATTATTATAAATCGAAGAAAATGAATTTACGAATAAACTCACAATACCTACATTAATAAACATATAAAAGTTAAATGACTACAAATGTGACAAAGTCTATAAATATGATACAATTGAAATGTTTGGAATATCCAAATCTTCGAGTATAGAGTGTTAATGACGTCAAAGTAATTGATTCAATATGCATTGAGTCGAAACTAATCTGTTAATATGAACCGAGTAAATATTGCACGAAGACGGAAAACAAAATAACACTGCAATAACACGACGACTACCACAACATCGCACTATGACGATGAAATCACGAAGAAAAAAATTAAAAATATACGTGAAGTCACTTATTTAAATAAAAATAAAATAAAATATTTAAAGAGAGCGATTCTGAATAAAAAATTAACCTTAAAACCGTTTGAAGAGAAGAAGAAAAAAAAGAGAAAACTAGGATGAAAAAAAAAAGGAGGGTGTGTGGGTTAGTTGTGAAATCTTAAAAAAAATAATTGATTAGTCTTATAAAAATAATTGTTTAGGATTTCACAAATTAAACTATAAGTTATTTTGATTGGTGATTGATAACTCGTATTTTAGCCGTCTTTAAGTTTATTTAAATGTATCACATAATGACTATTTTTATTCTGTTTTGTGTCCATTTTATTTAATTTTTTTGTTTTATTTTGTTTCAGATTTTTTGAGAATTGAAAGTCCAACGCCATGTTTCAATAAGAATGAAGCAACTTTGGCACAAAATATTGGGACTTACGGCCAGTCTATAACGGTGTATTCCAAAAAATAATGTTCTAGCTTCTTTGAGGTTCTAATCAAGGTTAATGCAATTTTTTCTATTTTCTGACAACACATTTATGTGCGTAATATAGCATACTCTACATGTTGCCTACATCTTAAACGAGGACGACACTAATCACTTTGGTGGACACTACGAGGTAAATGAATAATGTTTGTCCAGCCAGCAATCTAGACAAAACTGGTAGAAATATGGCTTTTTTTAAATCGAACTTTACTTCTTTCCTCAATAACTTATAGAACGGTAGTGCATGCTATGACAATCTCGAGATGAACTTATTGAATGTGGTGAGTATCATGTTCAACTTTATTATACTCTTCTTTATAGTCGGAACTTTCATTCTAATAATTGTTTCACATTTATCGGGGTTACTTATATGCTTTATATATGTTAAGTTAACCTAAAGAATGTGTCGACTCTGATCCTGAAGGTGCATTCCCCTGAGTTAAGTTGTATATTATATTATTAAATTTGGTTGATTAAATTGATGATATACTTTTCTTGTAATTCCTCTTTGCTGAATTTCAATCATATTGTTCATGTATACTTCTAATATCTCGTCGATTTCTTCTTCAAAAATCATCTTCATCGTTCATTGATATGTAGCACTGCCATTCTTCAAATAAAAGGGCATGTCATTGTATTGATAATTGGTGTGCTCCACCATGAAAGCAACGTTGTCCTTATGTGCCCTGTTGTTCTGGACTGGTGTTGGCTGAAGATTTTGATAATATTATTAGAAGCAAAGTAAATAGAACGTTTCGATTGAAATGAAACAAAACGTCATGTTTCGAAATGATAGAAGCAGTGCTTCAAATGGGCATATCAAAGCTTGGAGCTTCGAGTGACAATTATGAGAATATATCCAAAGAAGTCTCGAAATGACAACAAGGTTGTGTCTAAGAAGTGCGTTCAAAGCGAAGAAGTACCAAAACATTTGAAATTCAAATGCAAGCGGGATGTTCGAAATTTGAAATATATGCGCTGGAGCATTCGAAGACACGTGGAAGCAAAAAGAGAGGCATTGCTCTGCATGTTCTGAACGTGGCAGAATCTTATAGCAAGACCGTTATGGTCGAAGTAGTATAAATAGAAGTCTTAGCATTAGGATTTCGTGTGTCATATCTATTGTACAAAAAAACTCAGTAAACATTCAAATTACCACATGGCTAGGGAAACGAATGCAAGAGCAATGTACGTATGATAACACCACATGTTTATGATTTAATGAAAACCCTTTATCATTTCCAGTACTTTCCTTATCTTTATGTCAATACCATTTATAAGTTTTTGCATCCAAAGTCTTTTTATTCGAAATCTTTTCACTGATGCTTTACATTTAAATGCTTTCTTTCCATTTCAAACACTTTACATTTCAGAAACTGTTATACATTTCATGCCTTTATCTTCAAGTTTTTATCCTTCGAATACCTTTTTCACTTAAAGCCATTTTACAGTTTTCTTGCATTAAACGCTTTCTTCATATTTCGAATCTTTTATATTAACTGTTTTGTCTTACGTTTCGAAGTCATTTACTTGTCTTTTATGCAGTTTTTACATGTCTTTACAATTGACCTTTATTCATGCAATTTAGTTTCGCGCACATATATTTTGATTACACCTTTAGATCTTTAAGAGAGAAATCGAAATAAGTCAAACACCTACATAACATTCTAAATACCAACCATGAATACCTGTTCGATCATGAGAGTTACCCTAATGTCCAACACGTCCTAGGATCAATCTAGTCGATCCTGCGAGTTACCAGAGAAATTGAATAACAGTCAGTAAGTTTATTCGATAGTTTGGAGGACTAGCGGTTGTTTACCAGAAATCACTGTAAACAAATTGGCACACCTGATGGGACCAATCGTTGGACGTTACAGAATTTAGAACAGAAATAAAGATTGTTGAGACATAACCATTATAAAAAGACCCTCTGAGTGATAAGTTTGTTGTTTTATGAACCTAAGAAGTGGTAAAATAACCAACAGCAATCAACCCTTATCCAGAAGAAAACGTTTGAACAAGATATCTAATTCTGACAATCAACAAGGGGAACAAAATGCCCCACATACAACAGGCGCTAATGTGTCCGCTTCGATGGGAACGTCTAACGTGATCCCTTTGAATGCACAGTCTGTTGCATCTTCTACCAGTAATATAGCCACTAATGGAGTAAGTGGCATATCAACTAATAGTTCGATCCTAGGAAATACTGGAACCATTGGTTATCCTGGGGGATTTGTTCCACCATCAGGGACACAAACCCATTTCGCCACTCCACTAACTAGACCACCCAGTTTCGATAGTAATAGGACCAGAAATTCCTCTTATGGAATGCCAATATCTTTTATGACAGGTTTACACAATTCCACATCGATAGGTTATAGCACAATGGTCTGGGTCTGGGGCGAATCAGTTTATGACAAATAACCAAGGGTCAGTGGGTTATAGCACAATGCCTATTTTAACCACAGAAAACCAGTTGGCTTTTAGGAAATTGATGGATGACAGTAACCATAATATGATAGGGGTATTAGCACAAACTATGTAGGAAATATTTGCCCCAATAGTACAAAATATGACTGTGACAAACAGAGAAAACGCAGATAACATGAGTCGAATAGCAGATTTCTTTGCTCCCCCAGATAGGCGTAGGCAGAATCAGGCGGGGGTTCGAGCAAACATGCCTATTATGGAACAAGTTGCTAACGACCCAACTTATAGACCACCTAGAGAAGAAGTTAACTTGGGGGCAAGGGCACAAAGGCTAGAAGCCCCAATGATCCCAGGCCCACAAAGAGAAATTATGGAACCAGGGGCAAGGGTCGAAAGGCTGGAAGTCCCAGAGTTTCGAGAAGAACAACCTAGGGGGGTTGTCATGGTGGGTCAAAATCAAGATGCTGATGCTGTCGTTCATAGAATTCGAAACGATAACATCTTGGCAGAAAACAATTTAACCACCATGATAGAGAGAGTCATGGCCCAGAATGGCCTCAACACAGGAATGAGAAGGCCAAATTATGCTTCTCCTATATTAGATTGCATAATGCATACTGATTTCCCAAGGGGGTATAAAGTCCCTAAATTTACAAAGTTCGCTGGGGATACCAATGAGTCAACGGTCGAACATATAGCCAGATATCTAACCGAAGCGGGAGATATAGCCAATAATGAAGACCTCAGGATCAAATACTTCCCAAGTTCCCTGACTAAAAACGCCTTCACATGGTTCACCACTTTGCCTCCTGGGTCCATTGATACTTGGGCTCTTTTGGAGAGATTATTCCATGAACAGTTTTACATGGGACAGTCAAAGATAAGCTTGAAGGAATTAGCCAGTGTCAAGAGAAAGTTCACTG